GGAAGGATGGAGGGGGTGAAGGGAGGGCTAGGAATGGGGAAAAAATAAGAACCAAGATGCATCATGTAAAGGTACAGTTCCCAATGAGAAATGTAATTGTGTTGTATACCTACAATGGACCAATAAAAGAATTTAACCAAAAAAAAGAAAATGGTGCAGCCACTATGAAAAGCAATTGGGTGGTTTCTCAGAAAGAACACATAGAAGTACTGTATGACTTAACAATTTTAGGTATATAGCCAAAAGGAACTGAAAGAGTTCAAACAGATACTTGTAGACCAGTTTTCACAGCAGCATTATTCACATCAGCCAAAGGTAGAAAAAGCCCCAATATCAATCAAAAGGTGAATGGATAAACAAATTGTACTCTGTACATAAAATGGAGTATTATTCAATTATAAAAAGATAGAAATTTTAATGGATGCTACAATACAGATGAACTTTGAAAATATTTGTCTAAGTGAAATAAGCCAGATATAAAAGGGCAAGTATTGTATGATTCCACTTACATACAGCACCTATAATAGACAAATTTATAGAGACAAAAAGTGAAACAATGTTTACCCGGGGTTGGGGTGGGAGGGTGAATAATGGGCTTTATTGTTTAATGGATATAGAGTTTCTGTTGGAGTTAAAGTGGACGTGGATAGTGGTGCTGGTTGCACAACTTTGTAAGTGTCCTTAATGCCACTGAATAGTGCACTTAAAATGATTAAAATGGAAAACACAAAACCACCTGTCATATAATATTCAAAATGAAACATTTTAAAGGCCCTCTACAATCTGGTTGCTTTTTAATCCTATATTGTACAGTCATCCTTAAATTATTTTGCTGAATACCTGGATCTCCGACCTCAGAGTTTTTGCCAAAACTATGTAGTGTGCCTCTGATTTCCTTTAAGATTCAACTCAACAACTACCTCCACAAAATTTCCTAAGCTATAACCCATTAAAATTAATTCTTCTCTTTTCATCTCTAATAGTTTTTTGGACTTCACTTAAAGCAGTTAGCTTATTTATCCTGTGGCACAGTGGCACAGTTGCATCTGTGTCTTCAGAATTGTGACCTGTTTCAGTCCTTTTTATGCAGTACTCAATAAATGTTTACTGAATGGAAACTAACCCTGCCATTTTATGGATGGACAAATAGGAAAACAAGGAGGTCACATAGTGACAAAGCCAGGACCAGTTTCCGGATTTTCTGGCTTCTCTTTCAAAAATTTCCCTTCACACTGACATGCTGATCCTCATGCATTCTCTGGACATTTAATCTGTGTTACTATTGGACAATTCAGTATTGTACTGCTGGACAAACACCAGGCCCTGTCTATGATTCTTTGATTCATGTAAAAAATTACATGTTTTGTTTGAAATCTTTGTATGTATGAAGATCATGATGTGTTTTTATTCTGTTTTCAGCTTCATGTTTCCTGTTGCAGGTGGAATAAGACCCTCTCAAGGTATGTGAAAGCTTAAATTTTGAACTTTTGTTTTTCAGTATTATATTTCTGAACTTAGTGATTAAGTGGATAAATAGTCATACTGCAGCCAAATAGAATAAAATTTTCCTGTGATCTTAAACCTGTATGGCACCTACTCCTAAAATTTCTCAAAAAATGTTTGATTTGGAGAGTAATAAGGATCACTCCTCCTTTCTTCCAAACTTAAACATTTTATCCGCAGATTGTTGTTTGACCTTAGAGGTGGAGACTTTCAACAAGAATACTAAATACAGTCAGGTAATAAAATTGAAATGAGCCATGATTCCCTTAATAATACCTTTCAGTTTTTGTTTATTCTTCTCCTAAATTGTTAGTGCCATAGAGCAGGAGTCACATATGTTTATGCTGATCAGTATCTCTAGCACCCAACATACTAATGGAACATAATAGCCTCCCTGTCATGTTTGTTAAATGAACTTCTCTAGTTAGTTTACACTGCCATATTTTCTCTGTGCAATATGGGCTCATAATATTCTTGTACATAAAAGAGATCACATACTCTGATTTAAAGTATTTAAATCTGTTTTATTCTGAGAAATTTCTCTACTAAGTATGCTCCTTCTCTTTAGTTTTAGAACCAAGGCCCAACAATATCAATTCTATCTCTGGCTTCCAGGAAACAGCAGTGAAGAGATATAATCTTGACTCACACCACATGCAGCTAGAACACAACACTTAGGGAGAAATGAGTACTCTGTTTCTCTTCTCTGCTTCTCTCTGCTCACTTCTTCCTTTCCAGCATATCCTTCCCCCAGCCCCTATGCTAAGCCGCTTCTGGAAACTGGCCCTTCTCACAAAGCCAGTGGTTATGGCAGACTTGTTAGAGAAATAGACTCCTAGGTTATCCACAGCGATGGAAGATAAAGAGCGGCTCAGGTGGTCAGTAGCTCATCCTGACTTTGTCTCCATTTATAATCAGTGATGGAGGTTGAGTTTCAGGTAAATTTTTCCAGGGATCAGTTGTCTTCTTTTCATTGTGTTCACATTTATGCATTATTTAAGCTATCTGTAATTACATTTGTCCCAGATTTAGAGGAAATGGTTAGAGATCTTTTGTTCTTTAAGAAGGTATTATGGAGTTACATGTTCATTATCAGGTATGGTTTGTTATTTTGTGTTTTTAGAAACTTTCAAGTAAAAATCTACATGTGGGACAAATAAAACTGAATAAAAAGAGATCCCAACATTGGCCAGTACTTTTTCTTCTGGACTTTGGAATTGTTTCGGAGATGTTTTAAAAAGAAAGTGTGTTAGAATGGACTTTTGGATAATTTGAAGGCTTTAAATTATGCACAGATCATTTCTTAAAGCATATGCAAGAAACCAACTGCAGGCATGGCCACAAAATCATGAGTACTTGAACAGAAGACAGGAGAGAAAAGACATATTTTTCACTTTATGCACTGTTTATTTGGTTTTGTTTTTTGGTTTTTCAGCACTGGGGATTGAACCCGGGATTTCACACATGCTAAGCAAGTGCTCTCCAGCCCTTTTTTCCCCCGAGCCCTTTAAAAACATTTTTGAAAAAAAATTTTGCAAAGAATCTTGCTAAGGGGCCCAAGCTAGATTCAAGCTTTTGATCCTCTTGCCCCCACCTCCCACGTCACTGAGATTATAGGCATGCACCACTGCATAACAAATACCCAAGCTACCTATTCAAAAATTAAGCCAATTAAAATAAATAAAACTTTAGGTCCAAAGGACATGAAGGAAAACCTCTTATTGTGGCTATATTTAATCTGTTCATTTCCCTTCTCCATGACACCTCAAGGTCTTTGCATTTGGTGTTTCTTTATCTGAAATATTTTTTTCAAATATCTGCATGAGTTGCTCTTTTCCTTCAGGTACTTGCTCAAATGCCACCCTGTTGGAGAGACCTTGTCTGACTGTATAAAACACCTGACTATATAAAAGAACAGCCGCTCCATTTCTTGACTCTCCTTTTTTCTCCTACCCTACTTTATTTTTTTGCCCTAGCTCTTAACCATTGTCTGACATGTAGTTTTTAAATTTGTTTTTAAATTTTATTATTGCAATACTAGGAATTGAACCTAGGGTCTTTACAATGAGCTACATCTCTAGCCTTTTTTATTTTTTAATTTGAAACAGGGTCTTGCTGAGTTGCCCAAGTAAGACTCAAATTTATGATCCTCCTGCCTCAGCCTCCCAGAGTGCTGGGATTTCAGGCATGAGCTGCCTGTCCGGCTTGTTTTCTAAATTAGCTCCAGTTACAGTGTAAATTCTATGAGGGCAAATACTTGATTTTGTTCATTGCTGTGTTCCTAGAATGGTGCCCAACTTGGAGTAGGATCCTCAACTACCCAAATAAATGATTGAATGGATGGATAAATAGCCTCCCTGTAGTAGCTATTACTTATAAAAGTACATGTCGGGAACAGATTAGAAGATGCAGAAACAACTCCAGACACACTCAGCCACCTCATCTTTGACAAAGGAGCCAAACACCCTCACTGGAGGAAAGATAGTCTC